TGTCATAAACATTTGGAATTACTCCAGACAATTAAATAGTTCAGTGGTTAGTGTTTCCATATATGGAAAAGGGTTAAGCACATGTATTATTTTGTATTTTTGTGCCTTGAAAATATATTGTTGTTTTGTGTTTGCGAGTGGTTTTAGAGCGAAAATGTAGGTCAAAATCGAATCTTTATTACACATTTCAAATGGTGTGTAAATCTCTTTCCGTCGCTCCCAAACGTTTCGGTACGAGGTTATAGTAAAGTTGAGCTTTTTCAGCTTTCTTATATAAAACAGATAACAATTTTCCGTTGTCTGTTCAATGGCCAATGAACAGCCACGGCGAGTGTGGCACTGATAATTTTACCATGTTATGATGCGTACATAATCTGTATGTGCTTAATTGTGATTGGCTTGCCAAAACCGAGAGGCCATGGCCGCTAAGCTCAAAGCATTTAGCCGTACAAAATTATATTAATGACAACGTCAGATAGCATTTACCATAAATGTTGATCAATAGCAAACATGAAGAAAATTTGAATGTATTTTCAATTCCAATTTTTAGTGCTTAAAGAGTCTACGTTGTTCTGAGTTCGCTCCATACATTGTATTCATTGCGGTACCACCAGTGGTTGGTACGAATACTGAAGACTCGGCTGATAAGGAACCCACGGTTAGTTCTTCATATTGTATTCTTTTTTGAATGTCGGTATTGTACATGAATTTCTATTATATAGTTTATATCGTTTCGAGTTAAATGGGTTGAAATCTGGGAAAACAATGTTTGCGAAACAATAATCGCCCATACAAAAGAAAATATTTCTGTACAGGGTGTGACAATTGCGTACTTACCTGCCGGAGATTCGCCAAGTACCACGTACTCAGAGCTCTCACTATCTGTTCACGTACTTACATTTTTGTGGTTCAATATGACCTTTCCAAGCCCAAGTTCAAAACCGTAATTAAGTAGGTATATGTGTATCCAACATTGTCTTGGCATTGGAACATGATTGTCCTGATGGGATGAGATTTTATGGGACTGAAGAATGTTGTAGTGTTGACATCTGCGAACTTGCTGATATATGCAATTGTGTTCCTTGTTCTAACTTAGGTCAGTGAGTGAATATAGCTCTTAGAAAAATTTCTTAGATGTATTTATTTTTGGAGACGAACCATTAGAAGAGTGAAAGGGGGTGGTGGTGGGGGGGGGGGGGTTGCTTGGTGTGCATGTCTTTTCAGTAATTATTGGAGTATACCAGTCGGGTACGGCAGAAAATCTTGAATTAACGCCCCCTGTTGTATCCGTTGCAATTTCGAGTCTTAATTCTAGTTTGTCCAGACCTCAACTTTATCGATTAAGCAAATACTGCATTCAATACGGTATTATGTATGTAATACAGATATGTTTTTATTTATAGGACGAATCTCTTGTCAAACTTGCTAAAGATTCGGAAGCTCTTTACCAGAAATACGACTATCTCTTCGACATGACAATTGTGAATCACAATATAGAAGATACGATAACAAATCTTGAAAGTTCCTTAGCTAAACTGCACAACTCTCCACAATGGGTCCCTGCCTCGTGGATATATTAAAAAATGTATACCAGTGCAGCTGAATCTCAAGAAACACGCCTAGCTATGAAGTCGCCGCTATATCCTGTATATTGTTCGGGTCACGGTGGAGGATTCTAGAGAGGTTTCAGTGGATACAGCGGTATTGCATGGGTAAAGTGTAGTAGAATATGTATAATGGTTCGAAGGATAACCTAACTATTGGAATAGGCTGCTGGCTTCGTGTAAAAGACCCATACAACGAAAGAATGATAGCCGACCAAAGTACTCAAAGAAGTCGTTGATATTAACAATAATTTAAGACTATATAGGAGGTATATATATATAGCAAAAGACAAATAATTGTACATATGTATACAACGCGAGTAATGTTCCAAGCAACTGAACAACGCTATAGCCTATATGCTCATGGCACAAATCGGAAACCACGCGAGATGTTTAAAACCTAACCGGGCAGCAATATGCTATCTATATGTTAGAGCAGAGAGCAGCTGGGAAGCGCTCGTTCACAATAAAACCCAGAAAAGTAGTGTATGTTATCAAATGTACTCTCTAATACTAATTTTTTAACATAATATATAATATTTTTAAAACAACAGTGTGGAAATAGAAAGACAGTATTTTTTTTTAAATTCCCATGACCATGTAATTGGTATATATACTCGTCATATGATACAGGTCATACTCGACTTGATTATCTCCTAACAAAAGCAATAAATGAACAAAACGTTTACTATATATATTGTCCTTTCCAGTTCTATATAGTGCTATTTTATGTAATATTTCAAATCCGACTATAAGGACTGGACTAGATTTCAAGTCCGCGCAATTTGATCAAGTCCGAGGCGAAGCCGAGGATTGCACGAATCAAACTGCGAGGACTTGAAATCTAGTCCAGTCCGAATTGGGAGGATTTGGAATGACATCTCGTACGAATAAGTTACTACTTAGTTAATTTTGATCCAGTCCAAGGACTGAATTAATTTTGATCAAGTCCTGGTCAATATACTTCATCAGGTATCCAGTATTATCATGTGAGCAAAATAAAGCAATATGGTTGGCTAATTTACTCGTGAATTATTAATGAGGAAATTACTGCGTATGACGTCCACTATACTTATAAAGTGAGGTGAATTAATTTTGGTCCAGTCTCAGGACTGGATGAATGTACTTCACCAGGTATTATGTGAACAAAATAAGACAAATAATATGGTCGGCTAATTTCCTTATGAATTGTTAAGTTTGAGATTTTAAAAATCAAGGGTGTCAATATTTTGGTCATCTTCACATGAACAATAAAATTAAACTCAGTTTATATTATAACCTTTAATATAGCTTAGGAGGTGTTTATACGAGCCGTACACGAAGCACTGGCCCGGTGTCAACTGAATTCCCTTTGCAGGTTGTTTTCGTTTATATGAGATAATGAGAGACTCGCTTATTGAGAGACTCGTTGATTGACAACCCGAGATCTCACCTAGCATGGCTGGAAATTTCCCATGGGGCTGAGTAAGAAACCCACGTGTCAAACTTAACTTTTGAGACTTTCTTTCTGGCTAAAGGGAATGTACTAGAGGCAATGTACTAGAGGCAGGTTTTCAAGATGGCCGCCAGTTTTTAAGATCAACAATACTAAACCTTACCCTCACCCCACACTCCTAACCCCCACACTAACCCTAATACTAACGCAAACTCTTATTGCAATTTTGGAACCACCTCTTGTCCATCCCTTTTAGATATTACCATACTTGCCGGGCTTCATGTAAGGCTCATGTAAACACCCCTAACCCCTTCTTTACCTTCCTCCAAACCGCTAAAACTAATTTATCACATGAGTGGTCGCTAATGCCCTGCATATTGAATACGCGTGTTGTGTAGCGCATTTGTTCTCATAACTGTTCCATATTCGTCATGTATAGTTCAGTTACAGGTAAACTGCACCCAATGAAATTCTTTATTTGGCAACCACAATGAGATATACAACTACCGTCGGTACTGAATTGTGTGTGCAGAAAAAAACATTGCGTATGTGCACATGAATTGCCAAGAGGATTTGAAAGGTTTCAACCTCATCCTTCAATCATGTGCGAGGGGCTGTCTATACGCAGACGACAGGTATTTCACCAAAACCACCGAGACCAACCCAAATGTAACCAACGGTATAGGATATCACGAGATTTGATCATGTATATTTGTTGCATCATGCATTATCTTGAAAACTTAAGCTTTCTTCTGAGGGAAAGGCAAGTTATGATGATTTCTTGCTCTTGTACCATGAACAGGTATTGGTGTTATCTAGTAAACAGAAAATGTATACTTGGTTAAACGCGTCGTTTCTAAGCGTTTTCTTTTGTGAACGTGCTCTATGTTGCGTTCCTACGCATCCGAAGTTGAACGCTATCGAACGCACTTTGGTATTTTATTTCTGACTAGTACATGTATGCTAGGGTTCCCAACACATTGGAGTAGGTTTAAAAGAAGCAGGCGGCCATGTGGTGCCGAAAGTTCAACCCTTCTGCATGGGGGGGGGGGGGGGTCTGAGTGTTTTCCTGTAAAGATTTTGAAATTTTGATTCTTGGAAATGGCATTTCCATCCATTTTGGTGAGTTGATTTGGGACATACCTGTACTGGACACATATAAAACTAAATTTCGACTCGTCACGTAACTATACCGTATGAAGTAATTGTAGGAAGTAATGCCGAAGTATTACGATAGATCACTGCTCAGGTTAGTTCATGATCATGAAAGGTGCTCGGATGTCGTCATACTTAATACATAAAATTATCTAAACATTTAACGAAGAATATCGTGTAAATTTATGTTCTAAAAGTAATAAACATTTTCCTTGGCATTTCTGTGGTAAGGGAAAAATATTTTGGGTTATTGCGAGACACTGACCGCCAATTGTCTAGGCTATGCATGAGTGGCGGAATTCGCCGGGTGCCGGCTTCTGTTGGGAACCCTGCAATCGTAGGAACACTGAGGAAGTCTTACCCGAGACCATTTTATTTCCTCTTGTAACTGTAATTCTTCTTTCTTTTCTCTTAAACTCTTGGTTGGCACAGGGCTCACATGCAATCGTGTATGTTCATAACCCTGAAATTAAAATCCACACTCCACAGAGTCAATGTCCTGCCTACTAAGGCCAATTTCCACTCAGGAAAATTTTCCGCAGAAAAAAATTGTGTAAAATGTGATTGGCCGACACAAATTTTCCGTCGGAAAAAAATTTTGAAGTTGAAAATTTTTTGTCCGTGAAAATTTTTGTTGAGTGGAAATGGGCATTGAGAACAGAATGCCCAATGGAACGGAACGGGATGAGATGATTTGGTTGTAAGAATTAAATAAATCTGGGCATGTATTTTCCAATTGCTGGGAAAATTACATTGACCAACTATCACCATTGACTATACAGTATACACAAACATTTAAATTTCATCATGTTTTCTCTCAACATTTTTATTGACCAGCAGAATGTTTTCTCTGCATTTAATATAACCATTGTTTGGTACCTGGTCAGTAACCTTGCTCTGACATTGTGGTAAAGTAAGAATAGGTGGTCGTGGAGTTGATGGCTTTCTGCGCTCTTGTTCGTTCTATAAATTCAATGATATAAAATATAACATTTTTCCTTCATTTAATCTGATTCAAACGTCGAATTTTGCATGAACCTACATAGCCTCTCCAAATCATCCTTGTTCCATCCAGTCTGCTTTTCGCAAGCAAGTCCAAACAGAATACACCCTTCCGGAAAGTACGTCACTTTGGCTATTGAGCCTCGTTTTCGTGTATCTGACATTAGTCAAAGCCTGATGCTCAGTCATGGAAACGAGGCTCTATAGCCAAGGTGACGTACTTTCCGGAAGCGTGTATTGAATTCGACACATGCCAAATTCAACGTTTGAAACAGGCCCTAAGGAAATAATTACCAAGGAAGGAAAACAGACAACCATGCAGGCCCTTGTAGAGGCCTATTTTTTTAGGGTTCTGGTACCGGCTGAAACTTATGAGAAAAGCATGGCCGGAACCATGTCTTCATTAGGAAAAAGAAAAGAACATTAAATTCACCATATAAAAAAATTAAATTTCATTAAATTAAAATTCATCATATTCACCCGAGTACATTACACCACACACGCACACAAAATATAATTCATTTACTGATGTGCATCAACCAACTATTTCAACAGATCTCATTACCGACATCATTTTAATTAGATAGACATACTACCATATACATCTATTCCAACTTTTTAAGGTCTCAAGTCGACGAAGAAACATTATCATAAAATACTGGTTCCCAGGCCTAAAAATATCTGTCCGAAGTGTTGACGGACTAGAGCGAATTAACAAGATATAGTTTCAAACTTAATCTCAGAGTTCCCTGTAGTGTATATGGGGCTAGTATAGTGTTTGCATACGTGTTTTAACTGTCATGGTCAACTGCCTACTGTAGAATCCTGACAATAGTGGCAAATTTTGATAGTAGCAACTTGCGAGCCTTCGTAACTAATGAGGAGTCATTAATCTTAATTTTTCTCAGTCAAAGAAAGGGAACGCTGCTATATTGCCTTGTATTGGGGCAAAAATTAAAATGCATGAGCGACTTTGAGCCAAAATCTCTAAATTCTTGTTTATGGCAGTTAGGTAGTCCCGTTTTGATTTTTACCAAGCATTTTTACCTCAATTTTGTCCATAACACATTTTTGAGAGCGCTCCAAAATAATGCTGATGTCTTTTCAAGAGGAATTAATCGTTTAAATTCAAAATTTGGGGGGGGGGGAATGCTTGTAGCAATGACATGCAAAACATATAAAACACCCAGTTTTGTGAGTCTTGTTTTAAATTTTTCTGGTTTCAAGTGAAACCCAAGAATTTTGTGGTGTTCATCCGGGATTTCAATTTGCCCCCCATTACGGCGCTCCAAAATTTCACCCTCGACGCCCCCTCTAGTGTTATATATAATCTCTATGATGTTCATGGTGTTGAAAAGGTCTTGAACAGGCGGTTCCAGAGTAGGAAGCGATGGTAACAGACAGCTGTGGACTGAGAGAGATATGTTCATATTTTTCAGGTAGCTGTATCTCTTTCAATCTGCAGCTGGTGTTGAAAAGATCTGATTTCCCTACTTCACTCTACACACGTAAAAATCTCACATCTTGTAACAAGTCTGCCAACAAGCCGTCAACAAGATGTATTCGCATTGCTTGTCACAAGTTGTCAACAGATTTGGAACAACTTGTAACAACCTTGTTGAAATTATCAGACTTGTTACAAGGTTGTTCTAACAAGTCTGATACATGCTGGATATAACAAGATTGTTACAACCTTGTGTTGACAGCCTTGTACATGTAACATCCTTGTTATATCATGGCTGTAACAAACTTGTTAGCACAGTCTTGTAACAAGGATGATAATGCAATCAAGCTTGTTACAAGTTGTTAACAGCTTGTTCCAAACTTGTTACAACAAACTGGGAACAAGTAGTGCGAACACAACTTGTTGACAGCTTGTGAACAGACTTGTAACAACTTGTTACAAGCTGTGCGTTTTTACGCGTGTACACACGTAAAAACGCACAAGTTGTTACAGGTCTGCGAACAAGTTGTGACAGATCTGTTCACAAGCTGTCGACAAGTTGTTTTCACACTGCTTGTTCCCAGTTGTTGTAACAAGTTTGGAACAAACTGTTAGCAACTTGCGATAAGCTTGATGGCATTATCAGACTTGTTACAAGGTTGTTCTAGCAAGTCTGATACAGTCATGATATAACAAGAATGTTACAAGGTTGATGACACAAGGTTGTATTAAACAACACCGTTATATCATGTCTGTATCAGACTTGTTAGAACAACCTTGCCACAAGTCTGACAATGTCGTCAAGCTTGTTACAAGTTGTTAACAGCTTATTCCAAACTTGTTGACAATTTGGGACAAGCAGTGCGAACACAACTTGTTGACGGCTTGTTAGCAGACTTGCTACAAGGTGAGATTTTTGCGTGTGTAGTTAACCTGCGCCGCAGACAAAACATGCCAAGACTGGGTTATCTTCGTCAGCGGCACACGTTATCAGCACGCTAGTAAAATTTTGCTTCAAAAACTGTGGACATTGTATCTCAGAGGAGCAGGTAAGTTTGTGCAGGCAAAGTACGCAGCCTAGTTGCTGTGGCTTACAATGTGGCCTTGTCAATGTACAAAAATTACCTTCTGTAAACGTCTGCTGTAAACGTGACCTGGTCCACTTTTAAAAACCTTTTGCACTTGTTCTTTCTTCCTGTCAAGTTTCTTCGCCTTTAACTTTTCGTTTATAGCACTTTCAGCTGCATTGTTTAAAAAATATCACCGTTGGTGCTGTTCTGGGCCGTTCCGACTAATGTGTCAATGGGGGGGGGGGGGGGGGGGAGAAAGAACTTCAATTGTTTGGCCTATGAGAAAAGTGAAGGCAAGATGGTGGTATTGACGTCCAATAGCTAAGAAAGTTGTAAACAGTTTTAATACCATTTCTCCCAGGCTGTATCACTAAACAAGCTATCAGTTCATAAAACCATAGTGTTATTGTTTAAATCAATGTCAAAATACAAACTTTAGGCACACTCCTTGCCAGCTTCGTGTTAACCACACAGGCAAAAACAATAGAAAGGGACTGGAACTGATGTCCAATAACTCTTAAATTTCTGCCATCTTGCCTTCATTTTTTGGACTCGAGTTCTTGCCCCAGCTATAGATGGAGCTCATTGCTCAAACATCATTTGCATGGGGAGTTTTCAGTAAAACAATGCTACTGAGTTAAGGAGCAATGGAGTGACAGATATACCTCCATAGTTTAATGAGCTAGAGTTACAGGTCAACTTGGAAACCATGCAGAGGGAGTGGAGCTAACTATTATCTAATTAGATTACCTGGGGTAAGTTGCTATCAACTTCAAAAACAGTCTACTATATTAATAGCTATTGAGCCAAATTCAGAACCGTTTGGATCAAAATCTGCCTGAGTCATACACCAGTTGAAGTTTGATTGCAGGATCTATTTTCATACCCAGGCTACTAGTTTTGGGTGAATAGGTGGTCCCCAGATCATCATGCCTACCTCTATTCAAAGATTGGCTGCCTCAACAACAAAAATGTGCTTCCATCAGGACCCCAAGAGTGGAGACTGGAAGGCGGAGGGTCAACTTGCTTTGGGCCCTTGGCCCACAGCCTGACAGGGCCCAGGCTTGTTTTTGAGATGGTGATTTGGAACAGGACCCTATTCAATTTTTTACTTTTATATATGCCATCCTTCAAGGTTGGGGCCCTGTGGAGGGATCTATCGGAATATACTGTAGCACTGCTATAGAGCCTCTACATCAATGGGGACATTTGACCTCTGCAGTATCTGTTAGCAAGGCTAATGCTTTCATTCTGAAATTAAGAACTTTCATTACTCCAGAAAAATTAGGCCGCCTTCATGACTTTTCTTTGGGAGGAGGAGGTATTACACCCCTATCCCCCCCAGCTGGTACAGTCCTATTTTGGGTTACAGTCAAAATACAAGAACCTTCCAACTTCCACTTCTGTAATCTGTTGACATTTTCTGTAATTTGTTTTATATTACTGTTACCGATTTATAGACAAATACAATGTAGTGAATGTAACGAAAAATGCACCCTACGCTAGAAATTATCAAAATTGTTGCCACATTTGCTGATAATTGATACAGAAAAACAGAACAATTTACAGAAAATTACAACAGACTACAGAAGCAGAAAGGTCCCTGTATTTTGACTGTAATTGGGCAGGGTGTTAGCTACTGGAGTCAGAAATTGGGACTTACACCATTTTCCCATTTTTAGACATACAATGCCGGTGGTTTTACTTGGGGGGGGGGGGGGGTTCCCACCATTGCCATTCCAGTTTCTGGGGGTTGGGCCTCCACATCCCTGGGGACTGAGAGTTTGGATATTTTGTAACTTTATGACCTTTTTTAACTTGTTCTTCTAGTCTTGTTAAACGTTCTTCCTGTAACAAGGTCAGTTCATCAACCGCTGACTGTATCTTGTTATTTTTCTCTTGTTCAACTGTCAAAGTCACTTTTAATTGATCCAATTCGTCACATTCGCTAGTTTTATTACACAAACCCACAGATGTATCATTTGTCGTGGCCACGCTTTGCCGAGCGCAGTTTGCTTTGCCCTGAACGCTACTTTGGTCTCCACAATATTTTTCTCCCAGTATTTTCTCTCGCAATCTTCCCGCTAGTGTGACAAGCGTCTGTCCAACATGTTCAATCTCGGCACAAACGTCTTCTGAATGCGTCAAAAGCTTGCTAATATCCAAACGTTTATAGTTAAAGTTTAGAATTTTCAATATAATTTCTTTTACGGGTTCTGAGATTTGATTAAGAGTACAGAGAAATTCGTTGCCATAAACAATATAATGCGCTTCTCCTTCCATGTTAATAGATATGCCACAGGCCGCCTATGTAATTAAGTGGAAAATTAAACGCTAATATGTTCTGTTAATTATTTACTTTTTAAATTTCGAAAACTTCTCAAAAATGAAACTAAAATACATCGTTCCCATAGCACCCTATTCCTTGTATTTACAGTAGAATGCATAATGATATGGATTATGGGGGTGTAGGGTCCAGACAATCACTTCCAAACTGTACAGTGCAACTGTGCATAATAATCGGGAACTACGTTTATACTACGATTTTAATTTCCACCGGATACACAATGATTTAGTGGGGCTAAAACATAGAAATATTAGATCTAGTATTAATTCTACGGGCTAAAATCGCCAGCAAATCTACCCGGCAATGGAAAAAGTTCTCGCTTTACAAGACATATAAATATCTGATACCGTCGTGTTAGCTAAGGAATCTGGATTATCCTATGAGAAAACCCGAAAATCAAAAATGCAGACCCTTTCCTGATAAATTTATAACGGGCCCTGAAGCATTGGTTAGGTGGGATAAACGTTCTTATTTCTGTATGCTCCAAAAACGAGCATGAAGATATAAATGTCAAGATTCTAGACTGGGCTGGGATGTTTCAGCTATGTGTGAAGTGTCAAGAACATGGTTTCATCTTTTAATTGGGGTCTGTGCACCTAATGAGGCAAAATTCGGATTTAAGGCCTTCTAATTGGTCGCGATTTAATTTTTGGTGTCACTAATGATACTACTTTGTTCAAAGTTAGCCTCCTTCGCAGGCATCTCGTAGTTCACTTGAGTTTATTGGTTTTATAGAATCTGAAGGCAATGCCTGCGGAGGAGGCTAACTATTATGTCTAAAACCGAACCTAAATGTCTATCATTGGTATGGCGTTCCCTTACGGACAATATTATGAAAGTTGTAGATATAATATCAAAGCCAATATTAAAATGCCAAAACTCGCAATATAAATATGAAACGTTCCAAATAATATCAAGTCGTCAAACATTATACCAAAGTCATGCACAATTTATATCAAAACATCTGTAACAAATATATAAACGCACGCATTAAATATTAAAATCCGTAATCAAAATATCAAATTTTCACGCACACAAAAAATATCAAATTTTTACGCACACAAAAAATATCAAATTTTTACACGCACAAAAAATATCAAATTCTTACGTACACAAAATATATCAAATTCTTACGCACACAAAAATATCAAATTTTTACGCACACAAAAAATACCAAATTCTTACGCCCACAAAATATATCAAATTCTTACGCACACAAAAAATATCAAACTTGTAGATAAAAAGCGGACGCGGACGGCAGAGGGCGGATGACGGAGCATTTTTATAAACACATTAGTACCGCAACCAATTATAATACCCTAAATTAAAATATATCACCTTGGATCTGTAAAATGAATATGTTTTCACCCGCTCGGATGGCTTTAGCATTCAATTCGTAAGTATGATAGGCTATTCGCCGTCTTTCTCGGGAAACGTTTGGAAATATTGTTAAAAGCAGGAGTATTAAATGACATTCACTTGCTGATATTCTCGTACTGCGTTGTTATGATATAATGAAAACAATCCCTTTTTACTTATATACCTAAGAGGTTCACACCTAACAATGGCTTATATTTACATGCAATATAGATACAGGGCCGTACAGAGGGGGCGGGGTCAAATTGCTCCGGGCCTCCACCGTAATTAATAGGGCCCCAACTTGAGAGCGAGAGCCTAAGATTGAGTAGGTTCTTTAAATTGGGCAGAGCATTTTTGAAATTGAGGGCCACTTACAGTACCTTCACATGCAGTGCAGCTAAGGTCTAGTTGGGTCATGAGGCCCCCAGAGAAGATTACCCCCTGGCCCCGCGAATTCTCTCGGCGGCCCTGTCTATATATGCATTTTAGAAATATTATTTATCAAGGCCGCCCATTTGATGCAGGGGTAGATTTTCATTGGGCACGATAATTGTTTTCATTAACCTCCTAATGCTGCTCGATCTTTTTCTGTCGTTCCCGGCTTTTGAACGAATTCCTCGATATTTTTAGTTTCGGTCCGTCTGTTCTTTGCCCGATATTTTTTCTAAAAGTGAATATTTTTGGGGAATCCACTACTTATTAACACAAGGGGCTTATACTACTGTCAGTAACAAGTGTAGTTAAATTAATCAAAATAATAAACTTACTTTAAAAGATTTGCACAAATTCTTCGCAAGAATATCGATAAATAATAGCTATTATGAATGGAGAAAGAGTATAAAAAGTTATCTATATGAAGTATACTATAGAATTGCAACCGCTAAATTGTTTCCGCAAATTTGCACCCGATTCCGTCTGGTTGTCTAAAAGCAACACTGCATCATTATGGCCTGCTCATACGAAATCGTGGTCCCCCAAAAATATTCAACTTAGAAAAAATATCGGACAAGAGCAGACGTACCGAAAAAATATCGAGTAATTGTTCAAAAGCTCTGAACGACAGAAAAAGATCGAGCAGCATTAGGAGGTTAATTAAAACAATTATCGTGCCCAATGAAAATCTACCCCTGCATCAAATGGTCGGTGTGACGTGAAGCCAGTCACGTCATAAACATTCTTAATTTAAGACATTGCGTAATTATGCTAACTCATGTTTTGCTATATTTATCGTCTTATGCAATTATCTAAAAATAGTACGACGTAATGTTTTATTAATATCTATCGGACAGTATATAAGCAGCGAAAGCTTAAGATAGTTGAGAATTAAAAGTTTAGAGATAATTGTCGTTGTTGTTAAAGAAGAAGAGTTTGATATTGTGAAGTTATTGTCGTCGTGAAGACTTAAAGAAAAGGAACTATATTATAAAGTGTGAAAGGACAAAGTCTGAAAAGCAAAGCTGTGTCATTGTCACTGTCACTAGACAGATAAGTTTAAACTATCCTGATTCTTCGTTCTTTTAGTTTTCTTTTATTAATAAATAATATAAAAATATAAGACTCTTCTGTTTTTAAGTCTTTCTTGTTACGGTGAACGTAACATCGGCCTTAATAAATAACATTTCTAAAATCCATATATATATAGAATAGTCGTCGCATGCAAATATAAGCCATTGTTAGGTGTGAACCTCTTAGGTATATAAGTAAAAAGGGATTGTTTTCATTATATCATAACAACGCAGCAATATTTGAAGTACGAGAATATCAGCAAGTGAATGTCATTTAATACTCCTGCTTAACAATATTTCCAAACGTTTCCCGAGAAAGACGACGAATAGCCTATCATACATACGAATTGAATGCTAAAGCCATTCGAGTGGGTGAAAACATATTCATTTTACAGATCCAAGGCTGATATACTTTAATTTAGGGTAGTTATAATTGGTTGCGGTACTAATGTGTTTATAAAATGCTCCGTCATCCGCCGTCCGCGTCCGCTTTTTATCTACAAGTTTGATATTTTTTGTGTGTGTATTAATTTGATATATTTTGTGTGCGTAAGAATTTGATATTTTTGTGCGCGTAAAAATTTGATATTTTTTTTGTGCGTAAAAATTTGATAATTTTTGTCTGAGTAAAAAATTTGATATTTTTTGTGAGCGCAAAAATTTGATACTTTTTGTGTGCGTGACATTTGATATTTTTTGTGTGCGTGAAATTTGATATTTTTGTGTGCGTGAAAATTTGATATTTTGATTACGGATTTTAATATTTAATGCGTGCGTTTATATATTTGTTACAGATGTTTTGATATAAATTGTGCATGACTTTGGTATAACGTTTGACGACTTGATATTATTTGGAACGTTTCATATTTATATTGCGAGTTTTGGCATTTTAATATTGGCTTTGATATTGTAAGCTCTTTGCGTAGCGATAGGGTAGACTGATTTCTTAAAGCTTACGGGGGGTTTTACTTGAGTAGCGTGAGGGTTTCGAACTTCGTCTTTGACGCAGATAGAGTAGATGATGAGTAGACGTATTACACGTATAGATTTCTTTAATTCGGTGTTCAAATATAGCAACAATCAATAGACAATCAAACGAATTCGAATTTGGTGTCCTCTTGTTCCTCAAGTAGCGTCCAGTATCTTTTCTTCGGGAATCGTTTTCTTAGTTAGCGTGAATAAATTGATCCTTACTGATCGGTCGACTGTTCAATTTGATCTATCACCCGAGCCCCCTATGCATGTGACGTAACAAATACATGCCCAGAGGCTTGAATGACGTTTCAAACTAACAGATATTATATCTACAACTTTCATAATATTGTCCGTAAGGGAACGCCATACATTGGGTAATGATACCCTAAACGAGGCTAAAATCCAAAATCAATTACTTTCATTTGGAAAAAAGAATAACACGTCGACTCGTAAATTCGCATTTTTATTGGAATTTGGATGGCAAATGTCATTGGTCGCTCGCTCGTCTCGCCATGGCATTCCCTTTTTGGAATATTCCCTACAAGTATTGATCTTGTGTTTGGTATCAAATATATGCAATTCAACGAAATTTAATTGCAATATGTGTAAAGTTGACCGCCAAGTGTTTCCCTATTGTACAAGACTTGAGTGAAATACACCTATATAGTTCAAGTCAAGTTACAAACAGGTCAAGAACCACACTTCAGGTAAACCTAGACAAAAAATTTAATGACTTGTACTTTCATAGGTTTTACAACGATGAACTCTATTTACTATAATATAATA